CATTTCATATACATAGGGGCCGCCTGCTAAGGCAGGTGCGTCTATTTTGCGACTAACTACCGGGGTACCGATGCCAGATAAGATAATGGCACCGCCCGCCAGGAAAACGCGTCATTTCAGCGACATATGCCGGGTGTCATATTCTGCCATGTGTAGTGGACCCAATGCCCCGAGATGGGGGCGTGACTGTTTAATCGACCGTGAAGTCCTACTGTGTTTGCTAATTAGGTAGGTTGTAACACATATGCACATGGGAGACTCTGTTCGTAGGTAACTGGAGGCCTGAAGATACTAGTCGTCACAGCAAACGGCAATTTGTTAACTGTTTCAAAAGTTATCTACTTTCTACGATAGATCTGTTGCGTATATTGTGTCCATAAAGTTGTTTGAACAAAGAAACGAGTTTTGCGCTGCAGATCATTCTGCCGATGCGCTGCTACGTACGCGCTGCGCGGTAGCATCCAGTCAAGAAGTTTATATGTCAACAACAAATAAACTTCTTGCAAAGATCCGAGCTCGGCTGTGAAACCCGAGCTGCCTGCCGCTAGAGCCGCCGCCGCGCCGTGCCTGGTCGCTATCAGCGCGGCCCGCTAGCGGCGGACATGTTGATTTATCACCCGCTGCATCTCGCGGTAAGCCGAGTCAAAGGTCAATCGACGACCACATTTCAAAACCATGGCGGTGGAAAATGCTATCCCATTTTCCAAGCAAGCGCCGTCGTTCCTACGTACACTGTGAAAAGTACAAGTAAGTAAGTCGTTCCCAATTCCAAAGGAGAACCCCAAAGAAGTTTTGGGTTGACCTTTTTTGCGACATTCATAGACTTTATGGAACCGAACCGCGGTTTGATAAATGGACTCGGCCAAGAAAACGTCACGGCTGCCGCGCAATTTATTTGGTTTGTTTACAAACACGGCGGTGCGAATCCTTTTTTTGCTTGACTCTGCTCCCGTTTGCGCTACGTACGGAACAAATAATACAATGGTTCTGTAGCGCTGTTTTACTACATTAACTGAAATAAAAATCACTTCAAGTGACATATAATGCATTCAAATGAAGCAAGGAAACACCGGGACAACTCGTTTTCTAAATATGGATAATTATATGCAAACGTCATGTGAAGTCCACGGAAAGAAAAAAAGACAAAATTTTTAAGACAAAAAAATTACATCCACTCCGGGAGTGTCAATACGCCAGGACCGAAGCCTACAGACTCGAGCTGGGTTGGGTGGGGGGCGACAAAAAAAAAACGAGGCATATATAAAACGGTGACGATCTTCCCCACCAACCTCTGCTTGGAGAGTACTCGAGCAGCACATGTTGTCACCAAGTGCCATTTCGCGCCAAATCTTGTCGTGCCCAACAGGCGGTACCTAGGGCCGCGGGATCACACAAGCTGCTGCGTTAAAACTTTCTCAAGTTCTCTTGTTTTGGAACAACTCATTAATCTTTGGAAGCATGTGAACTCTGTGTTCAATCCCGGTAGTTTTTTTAACCTCCATGGCGATACCCAAGAAAATCTACTGAAAGGCGCCGCAAATTTCCGTCTCGTAAACGGTCGTCGCCTTTCCGAACGGTCGTCGCCTTTTTTCAGAACGGTCGTCGCCTTTCGGAGCGGTCGTCGCCATTTCCGATCGACCGAACTTCCGAATATCCGCGGCATGTTCGGGACTTCCCGGCCGGAGTTCTTGGAATGTGTGAATCGCACTCAGTCCATAACATGGCGACCGTAGGCGGGCCAGAAAAGTAACTTGTCTCCTCAGCTGCTGATTTTATAAGATCAGCATACGATCCTAGGCCTGGATCTTCTCCAGCCTATTCTTGTTTCCCTTCGCCAACAAACTGAAGAAGGGTTCATATAATGCCGTTTATACAAATGACAAATGAATCTTCAACCAAAAACAAACATAGATTCCGTCCCTGTGCTATATTTCTCAATCCCTGTCTGTGGTATGTATTCCTTTCGTTTATGTAAAATTCATGTAGGATTAATAAAGGACCTGCTGTTTTAGAAGGGGGACAATGTCTTACTTTGACAGGAATTTTGACAAACTTGTAAAGCTATTTTCATCCCGAAATGTCTATGTTTTGTTACCTTGCTGAATGTTAATACTTGACACATTCACCACTGCACTGTATGTAAATACGACACATTCACTGGGTAGCACATCAATGCCATGCTGGTGACAAGTGTGAAATGGCCTGCTATGCTGGGCAAGCACTGAGACAACAAAATAAAACCCGGCTGTGGTGGAGTTGTGAGTCAGTCAGTCAGGACATAATGTCCTTGGTCAGAGTAAATGCCTGCATGTGTGATGGTGCTTCCGAATGAATGTTTCTGAGTCAGACCATCCTGCAGCATTCATAAATTACATGCTCGCACAATGGGCTGTTCCAAAAATACATGTGGAGTTTTTCTCGCCCCCGTTTCAAATTCAGCAATGTATGAAAACCTACAAACGTTCTAGTTCAGAGGGGTTTTTTTTCAAATAATGTTTATTCGCATTTCAAAAGGAAACAAAGAAAAAAGGGAGAGGACATGTTCACATACAAGAAAAATAAATACCCAGAGACATTCGAGTTCAGAGTTACCCAAACCCTTCCCGTTCCAATCGAGAATTTCTCAAACACTAACCTAGTTCTAACCTAGATAATTCAACCCCCGGAACTTATAATGTGGTACTAGCACCCACGCAACTTCAATCCACCTAGCCAAGTTCTGGCCCGTCTTCGGTCGCGATGTTATCTTCAGGAAGTGTGATTTCACACATTCAAAGAACTCGGGGAAGTCCCGAACATGTCGCGGATATTCGGAACTGAAGTTCGGTCGATCGGAAATGGCGACGACCGCTCCGAAAGGCGACGACCGTTCTGAGAAAAGGCGACGACCGTTCGGAAAGGCGACGACCGTTTACGAGACGGAAATTTGCAAAGGCGCCGTGGGGAGCTTTCCTTCTACATTTGTACGATCCTCTCCGTTTTATAATAGCGCGTATGTGTTAATTGGTGGCAGATGACCTAGAGCCTAATGTTGTTTACCAAAGACACACTGGGAGGTTTTCTGGAAGTTTTGCGCTCACAAGTAGTCTCAAACGGCGATAATTTAGTTTGCAGTGCCCTTTCCTATATCTTATAATTCAGATATTCTGT